ATGGAGAATGATGACCGACTTTTCTCATTGGTTGAGTTTGGCCATAATGTTGTGAGAGGTGTCCCCCTTTTGGTGGGGTGTGTGTGTGTGTGCTTGTTTGGCATTTGACGGACCACTCGTCGCAGAGGATATGCGTGGTTGATGGGGTCTTGATAAACTGGACTGGTGGACTAATTGAGCATCAAAAGTGGTTTGCAGGAAGTGAGGCACAGCTTGACCATGCTCGTCGTGACTATAAAAGTGGTGCGCATGTCCCATCGTCCATTCACTCGATGGATTCGAATGATTTCATAAGGACGCCGACCAGGAAGATGTAGGTGCCTACTCGCTCCCTCTTCCCCTCTCCTCTCGCATCAAACTCACCAGACACGGAGTAGGCACCTCTCATTTTGGCAGTGACATTCAGTTGTTTGTTGGTTGTATTGTACTTCCCTCGAAGTTGTGGGAGGACACGCAGCTCAAGAATAGGTTTTTTGGAGCCACCCAACATCGCCTCCCTTCATATTAATGTAGCAACAGAATTATGCCACCCAACAACGGAATAGCCACTGCTCTCTGCTGCCGCTATCATCTCAACCAACCGTGATATCGGTTTGTCCCATCTCCAAAGTCCACTCATTGCATACTTCATCCCTGTGACTCCATTATGTGTTTTTTTCGATCTCGTCTAACCTCTTTCTCTGCCGTGGTGACAATGCTTTGTCCATTCCAATGTTTTGTACCACATATCCGTGTTTGCATCCAGTACAATGCCTTCCACGAACCCCCTCCTTCCTCAACAAATGCCGCACCACCTTTACTTGGGTACGCACTACCATCCACACTCAATTCATTTGCAGCCAACTTTTGAAGATCACAGCATGCCGTTCCACGAGCACCAATTCGCCGGCACATCAGTAAGTAGAATAACTCTCCAAAAGCTCGAGCATAGCCACGAGACAATCCCAGTTACTTAGCATCTCAGTCGCTGCCTATGCCAGCAACCAATGCTCGCTACATGCTGCGCAGTAAGAGAAATCAAGCTCTGCATCAAGTCACCCTTCATCACACATGGCAAAGGCACAGACCGCACTGAACGATATGAACTTGCTATCTGCTTGCGATTGCATTGCAAATGTGCAACGTAGGGAACCAGTACTGCCGATTCCACAACACACAACCCCCATTGGTCCACGGTTTGCATACCTTACCCGTCCCATAAAGGTCAATCTGACACTCCACGGCACACAATCTCACATTTACTACCACCGGTCTCAAGGATGGCGCCACAGGGCCAAGACATGTTAATGAACTCTACTCGGCTCTGCGAAAGTCGCCTCACTGTGTGTTGACACACCTTCTTCCAACCGATACGCAATACTTTCGTATACGTTGTGAACAACCGGAGGGCGAGGTGCCGTCAATGTCGATGTTCTTGATGATTCTGTTTATTTTTCTCCAAAATCGCATTTTTCCTGCTACATGTTTTATGCTGAAGTTCACTTTGTTGGTTCGCTTCATCCTTTCACTATGTTCCCTTATTTCTTCACCGCCTTTCCCTTCGAAATGCAAAAAAAAACTAAGTCGACGGAACTATCGCGGCAGCAACGCCTTCTACTCCCAGCCTTATGGTAAGTCATGGCACCGACCTACTCTTCGCCACACATTGTCATGTCACGCCGTATTTCCGCTCTTGCTTTCATTCTCCTCGTTTCACCCAACCGTTGATTCGAATGGAAGCATGTGAAGAATGGTCTGTCCACAGCGAGCGCATCCACTTCATTGCTAAGAGACCCAGTGTTTGCTTACATGTCTTTCCTTCATATCATCTCATCTCATATCAACATTAGTAGAGTGCAATGACGACTGCAAGGAGTGAAGCAATGAGGCCATAGGCAAAGTATGCAATGTTCAAAGTCATGCTAAAAAATGTGGACATGTGACGTAGCACTGACGTAGAATTTTGTTTTTCGTCCACCGCCGCCGCTTCCTCTTCCTCCTGCTTTTCATCCTTCCCGCTCTCCTTCCACCTCATAGTCTCACCATTCTGTCCCTTTTCAGCAGTGTTTCTTCTTTGCTCAGCCTGCGGCGATCAACCCATCCCCTCTGTTCTGCCTAGTAGGTGATGGCGTCTCCTACACTTGCCGCGAAGTCATTTTTCCTCTAAACCCCCTATCAGAAATAAAACGAACTTATATAAAGCCTCACCCACATAACATCCGACGAGATAACCCATCCACAGTGCACACTCACCCCTTCCACTCAGTACGCAATCTAAGTCCCCACCCACCACAAAGTACCACCATCATCTCCAAAACGCCGACATCCATGTGTATTGCCCTACCTAACCAACGGCAACTATCGATCCAAACGCAAATTACCGCCATAGGCTTATATACCACAGCAGTACACCATGAGACCACTTGCTTGTTGAGGG